TTTCTGAAGAAGGGTCTAGGCCCGAAACGTCAGCCTTCCTGCTCCTCTGATGCTGCTTGGCCTGCTGTGTTCATCCAGCTCTACACCTTGTTATCTCAGCAACATTGGTGTACCTACCCTGAATTTAGATTCAATTTGACTACAGGGGAAAGAGCTACACAGTGTTCTAGTCTATACGTTTGATTTAATACAACAGTTGTCTGCAAGTTTACTTTCAGTATGATGTAGAAAATAACATTTTTAATTACCTTTTAACCTTTATCAACTTTTTCATTAAAACTGGCATTGATAATTTTCAATTGCAGGTATGGTATATTAGTGGATCCAATTCAAATAATCTCGCTGTTCCTGAAGGATCCCTACAGTTGGCCTGCTTTGTGCCTTATAATTGGTAAGTGTCCTGCACTTGGGAAGTGATTTGTGTCTCTGAGTCATTCCCTGTCTCTTTGTCTCCAGTGCTCCAGTAGGAGGTTAAATTGACAGTACAAGTCTTGAGATGTCATTCTCTCGTAATTTGCTGTACAATTTTATTAACCTTCGCAGGCACAAATGTTGATCCTGACTTTTCTTCAGATCTCCTATCTTTGAACTTGCCCAATGAGATTTAATATCCCTCTGCTAGCAATTCACTAATTTTGAACTTGTCCCCTGATTATTATTTTTATGGACTTTAATTTCTAACACCTGGAATTATTTTTGATAGCTAAGATTATGCATGGTTAAAATGCTCCTATGTCTTCCCTCTGCTTTCCATTCCAATTATATAACAATGTAATCTTGTTCTTCCCTTGTCTTACATGAATCAATTTTCCTCTGTTTTGAGGTTCCACTTCTTGCCTTGGCCTGGGGTCAGCAGCTTTTCTGTTGCTGTCACCACAATTGACAAATATCAGTGTCTGGGCAGGAAATGAAACTACAATGTGAAATATGTGACAAAGAGAAGGTATTACTATTACAGTCTTGTGTCGTATCCACGTATTACTAGTGTATATCATTCTGTGTCCACTTACTGCTGTTGATTTAACAGACCTCTTTATATTCCCCAGTCTCGAATACTTTTGTAATTGTGACACTGCACATTGAAAGGAAAATGGCTGTGGTGAGTTGGTAGTTTTCTTTCTCTCGAGGGATAGGGAGTACTTGTGTTCTAATTGTTGGATAGTTTTGGTACTTGTATAAATATTGGCGGAAGTGGATTGCTTGTCTTTGTGGAAGCCCCCCAGTGTAGGTCACTATCCTTCAGAGGGCTGGATCCGTGGGGAAACAAGTCATGCCTCTGATCAGATATTTGAGAAGTAACAAATCTTTCTTTGCCTCGCCTGTCCTAGAACCATGCAAGTACAGTTCCACAGACTGTAGAATCTATTTGGCTTTCCCCAAATGGCCATTGTTTGATACGTGAATGTTGTAAGAGCGAGTGTTAACATGAAATTTGTACAGAAGGTCTCTGCTAAGCTTGAATTTGTTCTTTCTTGACGTTCATACGGACATCTGCCTTTCAAGGAGGAATTGTTAGATAGGAATCAACAAGGGAAATCCTGCATGTAGTCATCACAGTCAAATCACTCCTCTCCCTTCCAATATTCAGGGGTTTTGAGGGCAGTTATCATACCCATTCCCTTCCCTTTGTCCAGACCCTGGTACACCAAGTGATTGTGATACTAAGCAAATAACACAGACCATGAGATTGAAAGCCATCACAGCAAGCTGGAATGAAGTTCAGTAAATCCGAGTCAGTGAGCTGGAAAGCTCCCAGTTTCCTCAAGTCTTTAGAGGGAGGAATCTGGCTCCTTGATTGGTTCACACAGATTCTAGGCTCTAAGTGGCTGATTCATTGGCCCACTAAATTATTCTGTTTGCTGCTGATTATGTTAAAGGAATGCCATCACTGTTTCCTTGTGTTATGTAGGGATAAGAATATAGGAGCTAGGAGCATGAGGAGGCAATTCAGCCCCTCGAATCTGCTCCACCATTTGATACGATAGTGGCTAATCTTATCTTGCCCTCACTCCACTTTACTGCCCACTCTCCATAACCCTTCAACTTATTATGAATTAAAAATTTGTTTACCTCCTTAAATTTACTCTGTCCCAGCATCCACCACATTCTGGAGTTGTGAATTTCACAGATTCACAACACTTTGAGAGAAGAAATTTTGCCTCATTTCTATTTTAAATCTGCTATCCCTTATCCTTTTAAACAATTGACATGAGGAAACATCCTCTTTACGTCTAGTTTGTCAATGCCTTTATAAACCTATAGGATAGGCAATAAGTAGTGTTGCCTGTATCCTAACCAAAATGAAAATAACTACTTGAGTTTGTTGGCGCCATCAGAAATCACACAGGCAACCATTCAATCTGTGTCTTTTCAAAGTGCACCAGTCACTTTTATTTTAAGGTGTATGTTCTTATATTTATTTTGATTTTGTGTAAATTGTTGAAATTGGTGTGGCCTCAAAATTATATCTGTTGCCTTTTATTATTTTAAGCACTCAACTTGTCACTGTGATTTGATGTTTGAGATCCTGCCTTCCCAGCAGTTTGGGTTTTGAATGCCATTCCTTTTGTGGGCTGCGAGGCACAACCAGAGTAATTCAGTGGGACAGCCTCCTGTGTTGGAAATTCAGAGATTCTGTGGAATACAGGGCATGTTTGAAAATTTGATTACCCTGGGATAGAGGTGCCACATTTTGCTAATCTCAAACTTGATTCGGGTAGGATTGGAGCTTGAATTGCAATCATTCGGTGTAAGCTTCCAATTCCAAGTGAAGTGTCATTATGGGGACACTGATTAATGAACTTATGACTTAAATCGTTCAACATTGAAACATTCAACAACTTTCTTAAAATTCGGACTGTTGTGTAGAGGACTTGGCAAGTGGTGATATTCCCCACATCCATCTTCACTGAGCAAAGAATAACCTGTGAATGATGCAATTACTAAGTATTATGTCTATACATTCAGATGATTTTTTAATTTAAAGTTTGCAAGGTTTGAGTTATACAGCATTGACGAGTACGGAGAGGGTATTTTATTCAGATCTTAACTTGCCCATTCCTGACTTTGACAGCATTGCTTGGCCAGTGCTATGCAGCCTACAGTTGTTTGGCTTCCATATATACATGACTGTGCACCTAACTACAGCAGTATCAAATTTCTACATTTTATACCACATCCATTTGTGCTTGGAGCTTGTAAACTAGTACATATCTATTTGATTGTGCATGATTCCTTTCACTTTGGAACTGGGGATTGATTCCAGACCAAACCCCTCTGAATTAGCAGAATCCCGCGTTAATCTAGGTATTACAGTCCAGTTTGATCTAGGGTGGTTTTGATGAGTAAGCATCCGTCTATCATCCTAACTACTGAGTTAGAGTCATAGAACTGTACAGCATGGAAACAGACCCTTTGATCCAACTCATCCATGCCGATCAGCTATCCTAAGTTAATCTAGTCCCATTTGGCCCATATCCCTCTAAACCCTTCCTATTCATGTATCCATCCAGTTGCCTTTTAACTGTTGTAATTGTACCAGCCTCCACCACTTCCTCTGGCAGCTCATTCTGTACACGCACCACCCTCTGTGAAAAATTTGCCCTCTACATCCCTTTTAAATCTTCTCCTCTCTCACCTTGAACCAATGCCCTCTGGTTCTGCACTTGCCCACCCTGGGGAAAAGACCTTGACTATTCATCGTATCTATGCCCCTCATCATTTTATAAACTTTTACTGACCTATGGAACTAACTGCAGCTAAGAACGTGACAGCCAACATCTGAGCATTGTGCTTTTTACTCCGAGGATGCTAAAGGGGCCTTGAACCTGACTTCTTGCACTCCTTTCTCATGTCCTGAGATGCTTGCAGATGTGTTATTTCCCTCAGCAATACAGCCAAGACCAGTAATTCTAGACATATATAGTCTCCTTTTATAGTCTTGCTATTGCAGTGGGATGGGATGGGGTGATAGTTAGATTGCAGCCACAGAGACTAGGATAGAGATGACTTTTTTTTTTCTGGCCTGTTTAACCTTGTAAAGCATTTCCTGTTTGAGAATCCAGGATTTAAGCTCTAGTGTGTCATATAAGTAAGTCCTGACCCTATAGTTTCTGGGTTACATAACTAAAGCTCGTACAAGGAACCTCATTTCTTTTCAAATTAGTCTGAAGGTATGTCACACTTGAAATAATAATCACCTTGAAGAAAGACCATTTGCTTCTCATTATCCCTTGACTTGTTTTTCTTTTTCTCCACAGGGTGTTTTATCTGAGCGTTTTGGGTTGGTTTTGCACACAGTTAACCTGATCGCCATTCTATCCTTCCCTGCAGCTGTGGTTTTAACAGTTGACTCAATGACCCCAGGTGAGCACAGTGGATGGCAGTTAGGGGAAAGAGGGTCAACGTACCTCCATTATAGAAGACACTAACTGTAGCTTTGATTCTATGGAGAAGCCCTGTTATTTGGAAAATTATTTGGTTACAAACCAGCAAAAGCTTTCGGGATCATCTAGTGCAGTAAAAATTCTGGCCTGCATTTAGGTTATGCCGAGGATGGCAGCTAGTCTTAAATGTCTGTTTAATTACCTGAGAGTCTATTCAGTTATAGAACAGAGTATCATAGCATTGGACAACTTTTAACAAGGTTCACAAATCACCTTTTTCCTTCATCAAAGGGCTCAATCTTTTCTGTAATTTGGAGCCGTGCACATCTACTGAGGTGAGAAAAGGCTGTTTGGTCAATCAAAACTTGACCATCTGCTGTAGCGCAGCAAGGCTAACAACTTTAATGTTGCTGCCATCTCTGACCTGATTATTGATACATGTTTCATTTCTGTTTTTTGAAGTACAATACCACATCATTCCTTGACCGTTGGAGCAGATTCTTGGAACATCTTCCCTGTATGCGAACTTGCACTAGATGTTCTACACCATTTTGAGGAGGTGGCTCATTGTTACCCTTGACGTGAGTTAGGGTGATGACCTCCAGGCCAATTGAGGATGAGCACCAAATGCTAGGCTTGCCAGCGATGCCCTTATCCCAAGACTCTTTTTTTTTTTTTTTCTTTTTTTCTTAAAAGCAAATTTGCTTTACTAGGATATCTAGGCTTGCTAACAGGAAACAAAGTGTAGGAATAAATGGGATTTTCACAGGCTGGCAGATATCCCGAGTGGTGTGCCACAGGGGTCAGTGCTGGGGTTTCATCTCTTTACAAATTATAGAAATGATTCGGATGAAGGGACCAGGGTATGGTAGCTGAACTTGCTGGTGACACATTGATAGGCAATCCATTCATACCAGCTATTAGCCTATTGATAGGAGAGTGAGTTGTGAAGAGGACATAAGGAGCTAACAAAGGGATATAGATTGCCCACTCACTGAAACTAAGTTCTGGGAAATGTGGAAAAGTGTGAAATTGTTCATTTTGGCAGAAGCAAAGAAAAGCACATCATCTAAATGGTGAGAGGTTGCAGACTTGAGATAGTGCTCTGGATGTCCAAGTACGTGAACCACAGGTTAGTCTGAAGGTACAGCAAGTAACCAGGAATGCAAATAGAATGTCAGTGAGGGAAATTGAACATAAAGGTAGGGAGATAGTAGGAACTGCAGATGCTGGAGAATCTGAGATAACAAGGTGCAGAGCTGGATGAACACAGCAGGCCAAGCAGCATCAGAGGAGCAGGAAGGCTGACGTTTCGGGCCTAGACCCTTGTTCAGAAAATTCAACGCTGATGGCATTATTTCACAGCTCATTACAAACTCGACAATACCGGCCAAGATGAAATATAATAAGACATTAAAATAATCTTGATGCGGTTTTTCAAGACTATCCCAAAGCAAAATGACTTCTCATGCCCTTACACACAAGAAGAAGCCGACAGTATCTTGAAGGCAGTCAAATTAGGCAAAGCAACAGATGTCAATGGTATTTATTCAAAATTCCTGAAGAACATTTGGTCATAAAGAGGGAAATGGCTAGCAAAGCTGTTTACAATATCCATAGTGCAGGTACCACTCCAAGTATTCTCGATGGCAAATGTCATGGATTTGCAAAGTAAAATCAAAGAGGCCTTGGCAAGTTACAACTGCTGTCGGTGTGCCAGTGATCGAGGGGTTGATTGTTCAAGGTAATAGATAAGGTGCCAATTAATCAGACTGCTTTATCTTAGATAATGTCAAATGTCATAAGTGTTGTTTGGGGCTGCACTCATGCAGGCCAGTGGAGAGTATTTCACTACATTTCTGGCTTGTGCCTTGATGGGACAGAGACTCTGATAGGTCAAGTCATGTTGAATTCCTAGCATCTGACCTGCTTCACTAGACACAATGGTTATGGAGCTTCAGTTTTGTCCGCTGCCCCCCAATTCTCAATGCTGAGGGATTCAGCTGTGGTATTGAATGCAAGAGAAGGTTCCCAGATGGTCATTATTGCATGATTGTTACATGTCATTTATCAGCCCATTCCTGAATGTTTTCCAGGTTTTTTTTTTTGCTTGTGCACTTGGGCTATTTGTTTGAAGAGTTGCAAATGGTATTGCACACTGAAATTATCAGCAGGCATCTCCACTTCTGACCTTCTGATGGTGGGAAGTAACTGGTGAAGCAGCTGAACATTGTTGGTCCTGGGACAGTACCCTGAGTAACTCTTGCAGTGATGTCTAGGGACTGAGATGATTTATCACCAATTGTCTTCCTTTTTTTATTCTAGGTATGACTGCAGCCGCTGGAAACATTCTCTTTCCCTGATTCCCCTTGACCTCAATTTTTCCAGTGCCCCTCGATGCCATGCATATTCTAATACTACTTTGATGTCAAGAACAGTTACTCTATTCTCACCTCTGGAATGCTGCTTGTTTGTCCTTGGTAAACAAGAGCTGTAATGAAGTCTGGAGTTGAGAATTCCTGATGGAAATCTAAACCAAGCATTGGTCAATGAATTATTGGTTAGAAATTTCTTCTTGACGCCACTGACTAATCTTTCCATTATTTTACTTTAATATAGGCTGATGGGTGGCAAGTGACTGCATTAGATTTGGCCTACCATGTGTGTACATGGCATACCTGGGCAATTTGCCATCTTTTTATCAGGTGGTATTGCTTTTAATGGAACAGCTTGGTTCTCTGTGCAGCTGGGTCTTGAGCGTAACTCTTCAGTGCTACAGCTGGGATGTTTTCAGAGCCCTAAATGCATCCAGTACCTTCACCTCTTTCTTGATCTTTCATGAATGAATTCTACTGATTGAAGACTGGTGTCTAGAATGCTTGGGACTTCTTGGGACCAAGATGGAGCGTCAGCATAGCAAGCTAGACTGAAGATAAATGCACATGCTTCAGCCTACTTGCACTGGGCTTCACTATTAGTGAATATGAGGATGTTTCCAAAACCACCTCACCAAGTTAGTCATTTAGTTGTCCACCACATTCATGACTAGACATAACGGGATTTCAGAGCTTGAATTGGATCCTTTTGGTTGTGGCATCATGTAACTCTGTCTATAGTACAGTGTATGGCTTCTGGTGTTTAATTGGTATGTCATTCAATATTGTAGATCACCAAGATGATAACTCCTCTTTAGCATTTTGGTGTTGCTTCTGGTATGGTTTCCTGTGCTTCTTATAAACTTGGTTTGTTCCTGGATTGATATTAATGGTTATGTATGGCAGATGGTGTAATTGAGGTGTTACGTTCTGCTCCAGTTATTGGCCCACAGTGCTTCAAGGATAGCCTATTCTTCATTTCTATTCCATTTAGCACAGTGGAAGGTAGCCTCAATGTGAAGTCAGAACTTGACCACCAAGCATTTTTTTGGAGACCACATGTGTCAATACTGTCAAGGATAAATGCAATTGTGATTTTATAAAATACAGAAGGCGAGGTTACATACATTTTTGTTTAACCTTGCTTTGGTTTTCTTACTGCCTGCCACAGGGCAGTCTGTCTGCCATGTGCTTCAGGGCCCTTAAGCTCTGTCGGTAGCGGTTACTGAGCTTTGGTTATAGATATTTTAAATCTCTGCTCAGAGTACATTCTTTTCTTGACTGCTTTCAAGTGGTGTTCAGCAGGGAGGAGTACTGATTCATCTGTTTGATGGTGACAGTAAGTTATAATCAGTGGGAGGTTTCCTTTCCAATGTTTGACCTGAGGGAGTGGAATCCAAAATGAGTATTAATGGCCACATCTTCCTTACTAGCTGGATCGCTCCTTCAGAGAACCGGATGGGCTATGGGAACCTTCTGCACTGTAAGCGATCTGTTCTGTATTGCTGCTTTTGATGTGTCTGTCCTACTGGTGGGACAGGTAATTCACTGGATAAATGACGGAGCCTTCTGGGATATTAGCTGAAACATATGACTGTCTCTGGCTTTGACTGATAGTATCATCAGATGTCAGAGAAGAGTTACAGTTACTTGCTGTAGATGTTGTGCCTGGGATCAAGCTGCTGTGTACAAACTCCCACAGGCTGCAGATATAACACCATCTTCATAGTAATCTTGTTTTATATGTTTAGTTAAATTTTCAAGGAATTTTTATTTAGTTTATTTTTTAGTTTTTAAAACTGCTTTACTAAATTAATTATTTAAAGTATTCATCATAAGTTCCTATAAATGCTTAATACTATTAGATACTTAATCGGGGAGGCATGACCTAGTGGTATTATCGCTGGACTGTTAATCCAGAGACCCAGAT